AAGGACTTAAAAATAACCGAGAAGTCCAGGATAAAGAAAATTTGATGGCCTAATAATCAGACTACTCTTACCATAAATAAAATTGTTCTAGAAAAAATTAAGAAGGAATCGCACATCTTTCTGAATAGGTAGTAATTATATATAGAAGTAGAATAGCTATAGTTACTCATATAGATAGGTTTACTTTATACATGTATAATTACTTATTGACTATATGTAAAAATCAGGATGTAATTGTATAGCCTTGTCACCTGTACAAGCATATAAGTTAATAAAAGATGTGGAACATCTACATCCTGGATCATACACATATGAATGAATAAGAGGATGGATCAAGGACAGCACCAGCTAAGAAAGGATCAGACACCTGCAATGCAGAATAGAAGGGTGGCAGAAAGTTAAAATAACAATAGATGCAAACTGCTACAGAAGCTTTCATACTGTTGTATTCCACATAACCAACCTATTGACAGGGGGTGAGATAGAGATAACAGTCCTCAAGATCCTCAAGAAGACAACATCAAATGAAGCAGAGTTGAATGCAGTTATTGTGACTCTGCTATCACTCCCAATGGAAACTGAGACAACAATTCACATGGATAGTCAGATGATTGCAACAGCCCTAAAAATTAAAAAGAACAAAAACAAGATAGCACGGCTAATAGAACACACAAAAGACCTCATCCGCGCCAAAACCTAAGACTCCATATCGAAAAAATTGGAAAAAATGGAACATATACACACATAATGGTGGACGCAGAAACCAAAATAGCAAAATTAAAATGGCAGATGACCAAGCTGAAAGTTACTCCTATCAATAGGAACGTTCTTGAACTTATGTACAGAGGGTAGATAATGATTTTTAACAGTAGAGAAGCAGTCCGCAACCATTTCAAGAATGAGTAAATTATGGAATGGTGCTACCTGGAAAGAAACCAAGATATAGACTTATGCTATGATACAATAGACTGGGAAGCAACAGCTGATTTTCTAAGAGCGCAAAAGGTCACGGCAGGAGCTACGAGCTTTGAAGATCACCAATGAAGAACCTTTAAGCTAAAATTGTGGGCTCAAGAAATGCCAACAATGGTCAAGCTCAAAGAAAGGAGGCAGACCTTTACAAATCCAGTCACTGTGTCAGGTGCAAAGCAGCTGTGGAAGACCAAACGCATATATATACATGCAGGAAAAATGACTTTGACTTTGGCAAACACATGATAGAAACGATAGCACTGTTTCTTTAATGTAGAAAAAAACAAAGTAACCCTAGGTTTAAGAATGGGTCAGGAAGGTCAAAAAAAAGGAAGTCAACCTCTGAATACAGTTATTGGCCAGAAGTTTGATTCCCAGTGACATAGTTAAAATAATCCGTAGTTGGGCAAGGATCTTCAAAAAGAAAGCCAAATCAACTCTTGTGAGATGCATCGAAGCAATCCAGGAAATCACAAGTGCAATTTGGAAGCGGCGATGCGAAGCGCTAGTCAAATGGGAAACATCACAAGGAATAACAAGAACCAACAAGAAAGCAAAGGGCAAGTGAAGTCAAAACGCAACAAGGGGTCCCAACAGGAGACCGAAAGCATCAGTCAACCTTGACTGGAAAAAACAGAAAATTTTCAATTTCCTTTTCAATCTGAAAAATAAGAAAAATAGCGCTAACTCAGCTTAGACAAGTTAGTTTCTCGAAAGGGAGCAACAAGTCACGGAGGTCCACAGAAGATTCGAACCAGGAGTTATCTTTTATTAAATTCCTAACATACATGCTAGTATAGTTTGTAAAGCTTAGTGAACTTTGAAATAGATAGTATAATGTAATATCAAGTAAAAGTTTCAATAAAGAACAACTAGAGGCTGAGCCAGCTCAAAAAAAAAAAAAAAAATAAAATAAAAAATAAAACTATATTCCCATAAACTCTTTCTACTGATCCTTTGATCACACACAAAAAAGATGTTCGCAAGAAATTTTATACTTTCTTGCTAATAAAGTCTTTATACTTTCATTAAAATAACTTGAAGCTTGTTTTCATGTATCTCTTCTACCCTCTCTTACTTGTTTATAAACTCCTTTGAGTAAAAACTTGAGTCTCTAGTGGCCTCAAAAGACTCAAGTATACACTTCCTCTACTAAGGGCAAGAAGGTTCTAGGAAGTAAAAGGACTGATAAGTGAAGTGTCACCTTATAGAGCTAGAGGCAACAAGAAATAGAGGTTTTGTTGGTAGGAAAAGGCTTATTATTCACCTTCTCACATATTGTCTTGTACCCTTTTAAAGTTCTACTTTTTTTTTACAGTTTTCTTGAAAATTTTGCCTATCTCAATTTGACCTGAATTTTTGATAGCACAATATTACCTGGCATATGATTGTTCAATACAAAACATGTTAGTAGCAGAATGTAAACAAGCTCCTATTGGTCATCTCACATGTTTTGATGATGTTACTGGTGATTGAAAGAGAAAGCAAGAATACAAACTCCTCCACTCTTTCAAATGAAGTTTATCTGAAGCAAAGAAATCATAAGGCCATTAGTATGGACACTAAATTTCTTAGGTGGTGAAAAGATGATTATTTGTTCAAGCCAAGGCCTTCAACTTCTTATTATTTCAGTCAGGCAAAATATGTGAAGGAGATTATTTTCTTATTTTGATCAGGTTGTAAGACTGAAAAGCAGAGAAATATAAAACACTGCCCTTTTCTAGGATTGAGAATGCATTTCTCCAGACGTTGTGTAATGATATCGCAATCAAAATGAATACCAGTAAAATTTCTTTAACTAGGTATAGCTGCTGAAAAATATCAGGAGTTACTCAATAAGACTGAAAAGCCACATAAGAACCTGGGGTTCACCATTAGCTGTCTTCTTCTGCACAGGTGGATACAAAATCAAGACCAAAAAAAAGGAAGCATTGAGCAAGACACTGGATCTGAGTAGACAATAAGGACCTTAGATGGTTACAAGAAAATAATCAAGAGCATGAATAGATAAGTTCCTCAGACGATCAAGAAGAAGAAGGATATCCCAGAAGGGTTGACTCCTAATAAGAAGAGGTTTTTAGCTGAGGTCCTTTGAAGAACATGAGCATTTTAATTTTCTTTTTTATTTTCTTGAATTCAGTTTCTTGGAGGATAATAAGCAGTGACAATCTGTCCGCAAAGATGGGTAAGTTAGAAGGGTTTTTACTCAAAACTTAATTCAGAGTGAAATATTGTTCCCAAGGTTACACTTAGAGGCCGAAGCTCTTTTGAGAATTGATGACTGTTGGCGAGTGTATCAGTACAAGCTTTTAGTTTAGCAATGATACAATTGCCCTATATATCTTTATTGATTTTTATATGATTAATAAACACACAGTACTGACCTGGCCAAGGGTTTAAAAAAAATAAAAAAATAAAAAAATAAAACTATTTTCCAAAATATTTTTTAAACAAAAAATTTAACAAAGATTATAAATACTATATATTAGCCTTATCTTAAAGACAATCACATACTGTCAACCTATCCCATTCACCTCTTAGGAATCAGATAGAGATGGAGAACCAGTGCAGGGAAACACCAAGTTAGACTTCTAATGTGATATGCAAAAGTTCCTAATTTGGACAATAATAAATGAAGAGGTTTATCACTGGTGATTTAGACAGGGGAGACAGGACAATAATTTCGGGTTAAAAATAATTTTATTATTGGATAAATCCTAAGGAGCCTCCAGAGAGAGAATTTCCTCCTTTAAATACATAATTAAGTTATATGATATTTGATAATATAAACTAAGATAAATAATAGTAATAGTTATACTATTAGTTTCGCTGGACTATTAAGCTATTTATTTTAAACAGAACTCAAATATCCTTCGAAAATAATAGTTACATGTGATAAATCAGGACTACTGAATATTCTAGAGTACTTTATGCTAAGTTTGCTAATAGTAAAATTGACTATCAATGTACTAGAAGTGTTCTGGAAGATCTTTATATTCAGGTGACCAAAAGAATCATGATATATTGATTTGAGGTACTGGGATTATCCTGGACACTAGGGAGATCATATGGCGAAATTTTATAGTTCAACAATACTTTCTTATCATATATTTGCTCTAAAAGTGCTTTTTTTGATTTTTCGGAGGAATTTTGCCTATCTCATTTTGATCCTGAATTTTAAGTAGTATAAAGTTTCTCAAGTAGTAATTGATTAGCAGAAAACACATTAGTAAAAAAATGTAAACAAGCTCCCATTGGTTATTTCATGTATTGAAATATATTTTCTTAGTACCCATAAGAACCTGGAGTCCACTATAAGTCATATGTTTGTGATATGGATAGATATAAGCATGAATATCGATGACATTATTGGCTATATAAAAAGAATAGTACTGTATTAGGACATACCAAATAGAAAATATCAGCTTTTTACTTCTCCTCTTCTACTTCAGTGAACTCAAGTTGAGAGTTTTGGATATTTATTATTTCTTCTTTGAAAATATATCTGTTGCCCTTTTAAATAATAAAATATCTCTTCAAGAATAATATTAGTCAACCTTTTTTTTTTTAATAAAATTTTTGATTAAGTGCTAGTGAAGTTTAAGATTTCACATAAGAGATTCCCAATATTGATGGTGATAGATACTTCAGGTGAATCCTTGACACATTAGCTTCTTCTTTAGGAATAGCAATAATCTGCCTGATGAATCAAGACCTGGATCATATTTCTAGGAAGTATCTAAGTGTAGAATAGAAAAGCAATATATTGTAGTTTGTGTATTTTTCTTTTTATTATTTTTAAATTTTTTTTTTATAAATAGTTATTCTAGATTAGATGGTTATGTAATTATCTTATCCTAATTGAATAAGACATAAATAGTTAGCTCTTTGTACTATTCATTGATCTATAAATTCTTAAACAATATGGGTAATTATTCATTCCAGTTGTTTTTAGATTTTTTACTTACTCAAATAAAACACACAGCATATAGGCACAAGGATAAGTTAGTATCTTAAAAAAAATTAAGTTATAAAAAACTTTAAAATATAATCTAATCTTGAAAATTAGTAAACATTTGTTTTATCAAAATTAAGATCTAATATTTTTATTAAAAAAATATTATTATCCTTATATATGATATTGATATTTATCTAATTTTAATTAATAATATATAAAATAATATAAGCTAAAAATATATAAAAAATAAACTTATACCTAGAAAATTTATATAATAACTAATAAAACTTAAAGAAAAATAATAGTAATTGAATATAACTTGTGTAATGTATTCCCAAATATGGAATATAATACATATACTGTACATATTATAATGGATACTCAATCCAATTTTATTATTACTATTATCTTAGATTACCCAGAGTTTCAAAAAATATGAGTCCGATTATATGTGGTTTGAGTCCCGAATTCAAATATTTGATGAGAGCAGGTTCAGATTTTTACGCTAAATTATCTTAAATGAAAAGTTGGCAATGTCTGTATATATTTTTCAACCTGCTTAAATATAACAATTATTCATTAATTACGAAAAGCACTTTTCGCGGGTTATACGTATAACGTAATCGTCACGTGAAATCGAATATGCACAACACGAAAAATGGTATTTTAAACGTCATATCACCAATAATAGTCGACGTCAGTTCTATAAGCCACACCGATTGTTGATGGCTGTGTCCCCTGATTATATACAATGAAATAGTTCTGAAATGCACGAGTATAAAAAAGAAAGATACGTAAAACAAAAAAAAAAAGAAAAGAAAAGAAAAAATGATATATTATTATAAATTATTTCTATACCTTCATAAATAACATGCCTATAATCCAAGCCAAATCAGAATCGGTATTTCCACCAATTGAACTCATGCAGTTCTCTTCGTCTCCCTCAATTGGATCTCCAACAATATCTTCAAGTGGTATACCGAATTTAATGCCTTCGATTTCGTATTCCAAGGGTCCTGCACTATTATCAAGGTCACATGGAACTGTGTACGTCATAGCAGAGCCATCACGCGTTTTATCGGTTGTATAATAACTTGCTCCTGGTATCAAGGAGTGAATTGTTTCAGCTAGCTGAGAATTTAGAAGAAGTCCAGGGCTACCTGTGTCAAAAACGCACGCCGATGTATAGCCTTCTCCTAGGGTTAGAGCCTTATAGTTTAGATATAGACCAGTACAATTTATTTGCCAATGAGTATTTTCAGTTAATGGCGAGTAAATAATATCTCCTAGAGGGAAATGACAGAAAGAGGATAAATTCACTCATATATATACTGTATATATGGCATTAGTTTTCTATTTATGTCAAATTTACCCAAAATCTGTGAATAATCGATGGCTCCAAATGTGATCTCTCCTCCAGATTCATCATCGTCACTAATCTTTAAGAATTTTACAGTATACAATGGCTCGGAAATCTAAATGTAATTAGATTACCTTGGAAAATTAATTTTAGCCAGTAAATTATAATATAATTAATTTCTGTTTAACAATACCAAATTTTGCGCAATCATATTGTCGAACGGTGTCTTTGAATCAATAAAATTAAGTCAAATTATGTTCTTTGATTGTGCATATAAATGTAAATTAAAATAATCCTACAAGTGTTCCATAATCTGAATCTCTATCAATTACGTGTAAATGAAGAAAAGGTTACTTTTTTAATAATAAATTTGATCTTTCATCGCACTTTAAAATATTACTCACGAGCTTCGTCCAATCCCCATAATTCCATCGAAATTCAAATCTATAGTGGTATTTTCAAGCAAACCAATTGTTTGATTTATCACGTGTATTCCACCGATATTGACAATTTCCTTTGCAAATATTCCACTAACACCTGCGTCTCCCTCATAAGTCATCTCCCATGTTGTTCCATTGTAGAAAAAGGAGGAAGATTTGGAAGGATCGAATAAGGTGTCACCAGTGCAAGACGAATTACAAAGAGGCGAGGTCATCCATGTTTCCGGTGAGCCTGAATCAATTATAAAGTACAATGATTGTCCAGGAGTGCCAATATCGACGCTGGCAAGATACTTGTAAGTTTAAAAAACAAAATAAACTAGATTAGTATACATTTATATACGTATCATGAGTGTCATGACTATGATCGTATGAAAATTTAATACATCGGTATCAAATAAGATTTTGTTGTTATTTCTTTTATATATATTATTACGTTTATGTTTGATTGGAATTTTGATAATTTTTGCATCAGATGCAAAATTTTTATCCTGAATAGTCGGTGCGGAGAGAACCGAGAGAAGTGATATGAGAATGATAAGAAAAGGAACTCGATCCATATTTTGATTTTTAAATTCCGAATTTTATGCTAATATCCTATTGTTAGGTAACTTTTAATGAATAAAAGATTTTGAAAATATTTATTAATGAGGCGCATTCGGTTTAATAGTAATTGCTGGTGGTGCTCCTAATATTGATACCGTGCTGTGGTTTAGATTAGCGAATCTTTTCAAAATCGGTAGGGAAGTATGAAACTGTTCATATACTGTATGTCAAAATCGTGATCAATAGTTAGTTTCATAATGTACAGACGGGTATCACCGCATTAAGGCGATTACGAAAAAAATTTACGTACACGAAAGTTTTGATAATAATAATAAAAGATTTTTCTTTTTGTATCGTTTATTTATTCAAGAAATCGTGTGAAAATTCATGTTATACACGGAAATGGGTCGCAAAAAGTATCTCACGAAGGAAGGACGCCACACGATAAAGGAGCTTAAAAAAGAAGGTACATCCACCGCTAAAATTGTCCGATTACGAAAAAAATTTACGTACACGAAAGTTTTGATAATAATAACAAAAGATATTTCTTTTTGTATCGTTTATTTATTTAAGAAATCGTGTGAAAATTCATGTTATACACGAAAATGGGTCGCAAAAAGCATCTCACGAAGGAAGGACGCCACACGATAAAGGAGCTTTAAAAAGAAGGGATATCCACCGCTAAAATTGTCCGAATAATTGGACGATCTGTGAAAGTAGTCAAAAGTTATCTTTACTGGTGAAAATCAACCAATTGTACTGATTACTTTAAAAGAAAGAATAGTAGATCTACGTAAACCGTCTGTGAGAAATTAAGAATGATCTGTCATTAAGAAAGTTATCAAAACATCTCCTTACTACAAAAATTTCACAAAGAACTCAAATTACTATATCTACATAAAATTTAATGAAAACCTTAAAGAAAAATAATAATAAATCTTATATTGGATGCTAAAAACCTTTGATAATGAAATTAATCATATAAAACAATTAAAATAGACAAGAGAGCACAAGAATTGAATCAAAAAAGATTGGAAACAAATATTATAAATAGATAAATCCTCCATATATATTAATCCTTATGAAAAATTTGGTTTTGGTGTCACAAAGATAACTTTATGATCCAAGTTATATACAAGCAACTATTAAAAGTGATCACAAGTCAATTAAGATTTAGGAATATATAAATGGATATGATTTATACTATCTGATTCATACTTCGTTTTATATGAATTGAGAAGAATATAAAAACCTTATCTTATTTTGAATATTATTTATTCAATAATTTTAACTTTTAATAAAAAAAATACTATAAGAAGATAATATATCAATTCACAAATATAATTTTATGAAAAAATTAAAATCTAAGCTTGAAATGGTATTTATAAAATAAATATCCCAATTGTCAAAACTTAGTTCAATTAAAAACATATGAAGAGAAGTTAAATTTTGAATTAATATGAGTAAAAAATTATATAATAAATTTGATTTAAAAGAAATAATTACAATAATATAAAATAATATTATATTTGATACAATTAGTAAATTTATAAATAGTATACCTGAATAAATAAAAGAAATGATTAAAAAAAAAAGTTTATATAAAAAATGATAATAATTTATAGTTTTATAAAAATTACTTCAATATATTAATATCTATTTATATAAGCATATTTTTTATTTGTTTCTATTCTATATAAAATTATAAGTCTATTTTTGATATTATCTTTTAGAATTCAATAATTCTAAGAAAAAAACTTAATAAAATAGTGATTTTTTATTGATTTAGTATATTCAATATTCAATAAAAAAAGATATATAAAATAGTTTATTTTAATTAATAGTTGAGTTTTCAAAAATTCAAAACTTTTTTTAAATTTAAAAATTTATACATATTATATAACTTTTTATTTTATCAACTATCTATTTTTAAATATTTAATAAATATAATTTATATGATAAACTCTTATATAAACAATATTCTATTTATTAATATTGTTTATTATATTTTTAGATTACTTGTATATTGATTTTATAAATTTTATTTGATTTCTAAAATACTATTTACTAAAATATAACATTGAACTCTTTCTGTCAATCTGCTAACCATATATAAAAAAGACATTTGCAAGAAGTTTTATACTTCAAGGCTAATAAAGTCTTATCACTTTCTTTAAACCAACTTGAGAACAAGGTTTCCAAAAGTCACTTTGCAATCCCATTACTTTTTTTTTATATATTTCTACAAAAAACTTGTCTTCTAGTAGCTAGAAAGACAACTCTATTCTTCTTATTAATGGTAAAAAATTTCTGAAAGGAAGTAAACCTGACTTCTCTATCTCCCTCTTACCTGTTATAGAAATATTACAGAGCCTAATTTGTGATAAGAGACTTTTTAGAAGACAACTCCACTATTCTCTTGTCATTGTAAAGACTCTAATAATGCTCTTTCACAGTTTTTTCTAAGGAATTTTGCCTATCTCAGCTTGATCCTGAATTTTGTATTGCACAAAGTTTCTAGTGCAGTGATTGGATAATGGAAATACGTCAGCAATCCAAGATATAAACAAGCCCCTATTGGCTATCTCATGTGTCTGAATGTATTTCCTTAATTTCCATAAAAACCTGGGTCCACTATAAGTTGCAAGTCAGTTATACAGATAAATATAAGACATGAAATTTATAATATGATTGACTACACAAAAAGAATAAAGAAACCTGGATTAGGACTTATTAGATAGCAAACAATAATCCTTCTCTACTTCTCCCTCCCTTTTCTACATACATGACTAAAAAAAAAAAGATTACAAGATACAGGATTATTTAGAAGAGTTTTTGGTTACCTAGCATTGACATATTAGAAAGATAATTCCCTGATACATTAAGTAACTACCTAGTTTTTCCAAATACTCTCTTGACAGCAGTACGATATAAAAAAATTTTTTGGTTAATACTAGTGAAGTTAAAGCTTTATATAAGGGATCTCTAACATTAAAGGTGATAGGTACCATAGGTAAATTCTTGGCACATTAGTTCCCCTCCTTATGGAATCTGGAGTAGTAATAAGCTACTCAGTGGGTCATATTTTGTCATACCTCTAGAGAGTGTGATATAGTCTTGTAGATAATATAGTGAAAGGTTCTTTTTAATCAATATTATTTCTTATTTTGTTTTAGTAAGTAATATATCTATACTAGACGATCATGTAATTATCTTATTCTAGTTAAATAAGATGTAAATAGTTTGTTCTTTGTACTATTTGTTGATTTGTAAATTATTAAACAGTATGGATAATTATTTATCACAGTTATTCCTAGGTATCTTCTTGCTTTAATAAAACATGTTTATCCTGGTACAAGAAAATCTCAACAAATACTAACCAATCTGGAAACTTATAACTGTTAACATATAAGAATTAGTAGACACACAAAAAAGAAATACATGGTTCAACTTATGTGACCAAAAGCAATGATATATTATAGTAACAATAGAAACAAATGGATCACATCAACACTCCAAACATTGAAAACATCCAAACTTTCAAATAATTTGGTCCACAAAGAGGCACAAATCTTAGGTCACGGCCTAAATATGATGATTAAAAAAGACACTGCGCAGAGAATATATAAATATAAAATCTTCAATGCAAATTGATAGCCACAGACTTTGACTTTCCAAGAAAAAGAAAATGAGAATATAAGAGTTTACTTTCCAGTACAAGACTCATCTAAAGAACAAACATGCATAACACACATACTCAAATAATGGATCAATAAAGTAACAGTACAGGACTGGTATATCATAATTATGGGTGATCTGAATGGTACATCTAATCCCAGCATAGACAAATCAAGTGACAGAAAACTTATCTGCACCCACAATCCATCAGGTAATGATGGGTCCCTAAAGTATTAAGCATATAAAATTTTGCAGATCACTTATGTCCCTTTTTGAGGGACAAATTCATAGCTCTTCACTTTAATAGGGACAAAAGTCAGGAAATGCTATAAATCAATAATTTAGATAATGAAGAATAATTGTGAGTAGTTTTTTTATAGTTATTAATTTAAAAATTTTAATTTTTCCTAGTGAGGGACATTTGACTTATGTCTCTGCTTCCCTCTTTAGGGACCCATCTTTACCATCAGGAAAACAAATTAAAACCCTTATTAACAATGGCTTCATAGATACATATTGCACTCACAACCCTTCAAAAAGAGTATATACTTGACAAGGTCAAGGTAGCCATAGTAGACTTGACCAAATCTGGATTAATCCCAAAGCAACATGGCATACACCCAAAGCCAACATCATAAACATGTTCAACTCTCTAATCACTAGCAACCACAGATTAATAATCACAGAACTTGAGATATGGGAGTTAGACATACCCAAAATCACATCTATCTATAAACCTAATATTAGATACAACTGGTCCCACACCAATGACAAACAATGGGAGAAATTTTTTCAAACAGTAAAATTAGCAATGAGCAATACACTCTCAGATCCACATTGATTGATTAAAGATGGAATTTCTTCAGCTCCCAACTCTTGCACACAGTGAAAAAACATATATCCAAAAAACATCAACACCAGAAAAAACATTCCCAGAAAGCAAACAAAGAATCAGATGCCCCCTTACTTCATCTACAATCATTCTTGACAA